CCCCCCCCCCCGCCGAACCCCCCTGGCTACGGGCATGAGTTACCTTCCTGAAATGCCATGGAGGTATATTTTTTCAGTTGCGTTTGTCTGTCTCTCTGTCTGTTGGTCAACAAGATACTAGCAAGGACATTATACACTCTGTGTATAGTGTCCTTGATACTAGTAACTACTATAAAGAATAGCTAGATGATCATGAATTGGTGTCATACTTGGTGCGTTGGGACTTCTTTTAAGGCAGTGGAAGACAAATTTACTCAGTTTTGCAATATGTGGATGCTTGATTTTAGGAATGAAATTGCTTTTTCGTGGTAGAGATTATCTGTTTCGGTATCTGTATAGCCGGTATAGCCACCCATCGGCGTAACACACCAGCTTCTGTATCTGTATAGCCGGTAGAACCGCCCATCGGCGTAACACACCAGCTTCTGTGTCTGTATAGCCGGTATAACCGCCCATCGGCGTAACACACCAGCTTCTGTATCTGTATAGCCGGTATAACCGCCCATCGGCGTAACACACCAGCTTCTGTATCTGTATAGCCGGTATAACCGCCCATCGGCGTAACACACCAGCTTTGCAGGCACGCCCAGGCAGCTATGCCCCAACTGTGCTTGGTGGCAACGAGCTCCACTCTGCGATGGTCAATTGGGAAGTAAGGGAGCACTTTGAACATTATGGTTAATAATCGGTTCCTGATATCATCACAACATGAACAGTTTGAGATGAAATGATTTTCGTTCCTACAGGGTCACTGTGACGTCATTAAGTTAGTGGACATCTCGCAAGCGTCGACGGGAATGGGAGATGACGTGTCGAACGTCTCCGCGAAAATCTCGTCCCATCTGCTGGTGTCCCCGACTACTCTGACAAAAACACCGTCCTCACGTCACGTCTTACCGCCCATCAGGTATGAGGTCAGAGTATATAATAATAATAATAACCTTTATTGTACATTATCATATAGCCAGGCGACGTTGACCAATCAGAAGGCTCCATTCCACATTCCTTATGATGCCGTAATGTCATAAATAGAGTCAAAATCGGGTATTTAATCATCCAAATCCATACATTAAACAAACCCAACAATCACCCGCATATGACCTCAGGTGACCCAATAGAACACGGCTCTAGTTCTAAAAACTCCAAAAATAACTTAAGTTGTGTTCCATAAGAACATCTGTTCCCTGCCTGTGACCCAGTTAACATGAACTCTACCCAGTGACCTCAGGTGACTCCAGATGGAACTATGTTCTATGTTCTATTCAGCATGTGCATTGTGTCACTTACTGCATCAGTTTGGATAGGCTATCGTGTAAGCTTTATGATAATAGTGTTAATGTCCCGCCCTTTCTCGGTGAATATGGTGTGATAAAGCCTTGTCAGTTGCTATAACCACCTCATAAAACCTCGTTCGCTGCGCTCACTTGGTGGCTTTATTCTGTAGTTATAGCAACTGACAAGGCTTTATCACACCATATTCACCTCGGGGCGGGTCATTAACCCTTAATTCATGCCCTATCGGGCTAAGTACAGGTCAACAGATGAAATAGGTAATATTATACATGTTTGTATTACAAACAGCTCTAAAACTACTCTAATACAGAGGTTCGGCTTCTTCTCGTTTCTTTGTGATGTTAAAAATATAATTTGAGATGGGTTTGTATAGTACAGGATGATCAAAGCGCATAAGAAAGATGAATTTTTCAATATTAGGCAAGTATTGGAAGTATGGAAACGTACTAGCAATATATCTAAAAAGGTCATTTCTTTCATTACTATATAAACTACAATCAATAACAAAGTGGGCTTCATCTTCTACTTTGTATATATATATAGACTGGCTACCTCCACTGAGGTCACAAATAACTGGCCGTAGTACTAGAAACAGCTAGATGCTAGATAACCTGGTATTCAATCTATCGTGGTTGGGCGGATTTTCTTCGGGGCTGCAGGAGCTCTTCCCCGCCCGTCTGAGCTATGTTCCCCCGGTAGGTTTTTCACGGCGGGAGTTTGATGGTGGGGTGAAATCCACTCCCGGTGTGCCAAAGTCTTATTAGCAAAGATCCTACAGTCGTTAAACGCCTACCGGGCGGTCTGTTGTACTGGGCGGGGGAAAGCTATTAAAGCCTACTCTCCAAGCAGAGGTAGGGTCGCTCGGTATTTTGGCAGTATTTTCGCGTTTTTAATACGTCTTTCTACTTTTACGGTTTTTTTTTGGTCTTCCAAGGGGAGGAAGACCAAAAAAAACCGTAAAGTAGAAAGACGTATTAAAAACGCGAAAATACTGCCAAAATACCGAGCGACCCTACCTCTGCTTGGAGAGTAATTAAAGCCCCGAAGACAGCCTTTCCCAACCACGATAGACTGGATACCAGGTTAAATGCCAAACTGTCCGAGAGCACGAACCAACAGATAAAAGAACTACACAATAACTATGGACTGAAGCCTTCACTGATTTGTAGTAAGTGTTTTGTATCAAATGCCAACAATGATAGTCCTGGAAAATTATATTGTCTACAGTTACTCAAGCAACTGGATTTTTGGCGTATCATATTACCTGGATGTCTGACCTTCACCGACGTATATTTTGTATTTTGTATATTCTAATCCCGCTTCTGTATAACTTATTTCAAAATGTATACCTGTATTTGTTAATGTATATAATATATTTGATGGTTTGTAAATTGGTTTACGATTCAGTTTTTTTAAACTGCGAAGAATATACAAAACATCTTAAAACTTAAATCAGACAAGGTACAGCTTCTGAAGAGCTCGTGAGAAGTTCGGAGGAGACTGTTGCCGGTGAGAAGGAAGGAGAGGCGCGGAGTAAAGGTGCTGTGTTTGGAGTCAGGTTTAAGGAACATCAGAGATCGGCAGGGCTGCTGAAACAACTCTTGTCATTCAGCGACATCCCCATGCCTGATGACGTGACGAGACTAGAAAGGTAAGGCCATGTCCGTTTGATTATATGAGTCACATCTGCATGCTCATGAATCTTGCCCCCCCCCCACCCGAAAAAAAGTTTTCGACCCTACTGTAGATCACAAAAGCAGCTGCAAAATGAGAAAATACATGCCAAAAGTTGTGAAAAAAAACCCACAATACTAAGTCATCGAATGCCAAAATCAGTTCCAAAGGAAAAGAAGAAAATGTGAAGAAATGAAAATGAAGAGTCTATTAACTATTCTCCCGCACCAGTCATTTTTTCAACTTTCATGACAACCTCCAACTTTTTTTCGCATTAGTTTTGGAGTTTCCAGAGGATGTCATCCATATAGTCAAATCAACATGCGTCCTAACCGTGAACTGTTATGTAGCCACAGCCAATTAGCCAAATATAAAGACTTTTTACCCGAAGTATAGCCTCTTTTTGCCCTCGCGCACTAGTTTAGGGTGTTTTAAGGCCCGATTCACACGATGAAAAATAAAAGTGTCGGGCGTCGTTCGAGACAAACTAGTGCGCGTGGGCAAACAAAAAATCCAGCCTAAAAAAAAAACGCTGCTAAACCACAGGAATATTATGCTGGTATTGTAAATCTGCGGTAATACATAGCAACTTTTACAACAAGCCGGCACATGCTGGCCTTTTGCGCCATTTACGAGTCGGCACTGTGCTGAGTTTTAGTTCCGTGGAGCTTCGGCAGCCTGGGTGCCTAGTTATCACTGGCTCCCTATTGTCGCTGGCTACCATGGACTACAGAGGATGGCACCCAGGCCAGAGCCTCGGAGGAGTGTTTGGTTTTAGAACAGGCGAACCTCGATGCGCGTGTGGATGTCATCCATAAAATTAAATCAGTGTGGCCTTACTGGCGATTTTCAACTCCTGTGCTTACAGCGGCGATCACATAGACGAGCGTTCCCGCGCCCGGGCGAAACGGAAGTACAGCCGCCGGATCAGCCACTGCGCACAGCGGGTCGGCACCTTCATGACTCTGGGAAAACTCGGACCTGGGAAAGTATTTGTAAGTATTTAAAAAAAGATACGTTCTAAATGAACAAAAGATCGTTTTTAAGATCGTGATTTGGTTTAATGCCCACAATTGCAAAAGATCGTTATTTACCTTTATACTTTTGATTGGGTTTAGTGCCCACGATCATGATAATGATCATTCTGGCATACTCATTTTCATCTAAGGGAAGTGAGGAAAGTCGTGCAAAGTTACTCTCCAAGCAGAGGTTTGGGT